GTCTCACATACTTTGGAGCTATCAGAAGTGACCACATACTGGAGACATCATGTTTGGTAAAGTACAGGCTTAATGTAACAAAAGAAGACCCTTAAAGATGCAACCATGAGCTCAAACATGGCAATGATGGTGAGAAGGGTATAGGACTGGACACTGTTTCCATTGATAAGTTCTTTTTTAAAAGAGTTGTATAGACATCATCATAATCAGGTCTACTGCTCCCTCCCCTCTCCCACATTCAGTTGCTCTCCAATTCCCCTCCCCCCACCCCTGAAAAACCATTGCATCGGTTATTATCTTTATGCATACACTTCTTTGGTGCTTCATAAACTGGGAATCCCAACAGAAGCAAAAAATGAGACAGAAAGAAGAAAATTATAATAAAATAAAGATAATATAAAGAGTAAGAAAGAAAGACCACCAACAATATTGCAAAGCCAGAGAAAATTTTCTGCTGAGGAAGAAGTGAGAAATATTTGAACCTAGAGCAAATTTATTGTGTCAAGAAAAAGGTCAACTGAACAAGTATCACAACCCACTATAACCAAGTTTATAATAATCTCTGTCTGATAGTAAGTCTGTTTCTGCCTCTTGCCTATAGCTGTAGGGGATCTTCCAGAAGCTTAATCTGACTACATAATCTGCCGTTGGATTTTGGGCTCACCCTGTCCTCCATAGCCTTCTACAAATTGGTTATTCACAATTACTTTTCCCTTTGTCATGTTTGCATTTTGTTATTGTCATCTTTGGATCACACAGCCTGGTGTGCTTCCTCCCTGTGGACTTAGTTGATGCTTCATTTAGATGGCTGCTTGTTGGAATACAAATCTTTAAGACCAAAATAGTAATAACAATAAAAATAAAAACCCTTAAGACCACAGACACTATTCCGATTGATAGGTGGGCACCATCTGCTTTGTTAACCACCCTTTGCTGTAACGCCCTTGTTTTCATTGATCTTCTCATGAAGGCGAGGATCAAGCAGGGTCATGGTATAGGAACTAACCATTTTTAGATTGGGGCTAGAATTAAGTGGGAGCCCAAAATCCATCTGCTTGTCCACAGGTCATGAACTCCTCTGGTTTACCTGGTAGGCATATTATGACAAAATAAAAAACAACAACAAAGACAAACAAACAGCACCCCACCCCCCAAAAAAAGAAAGAAAGAAAAACATTGTCAATCATTCCCTTGGAATTCCGTTGGTCTTCATCAGCAAGTATGCCAAGTCCTCACTTTCAGCAAGCAAGGTTGTGTCCTTTGCATATTACAGGTTATTAAACCTTCTTCCAATTGTGATACCGTATGCTTCTTCATCTAATCTAGGTTCTCCGATTACTTGTTAAGCACACAGACAGAGTAAGTATGATGACAAGATACAGCCCTGACCACACCTTTCCTGATTTTTAAACCATGCAATATTCCCTTGACCTGACCCATTGGTCCGTGTCTCTATCATTATACCAGTACCAGGCTGTTTTGACAATTGTGGCTGTATAGTGGGTTTGAGGTCAGTTCGTGCAAGGCCACCTACTTTCTTCTTCTTTTTGAAGAGCTCTTTGCCTATCCTGTGCTTCTTCACTCTCCATATGAAGTTGGCAGTTAGTTTTTCCATTTCTTTAAAGAATCTGCTGGAATTTGGATTGGATTGCACTGAATTTGTAGATTGCTTTAGGTAGTATTGACATTTTCACAATATTGAGTCTTCCAATCCACAAACAGGATATTCTTCCAT